AAAAAGAGCTTTTGAATTATAATATATATTTAAAGCTCACCTTCAGCTAGACGCACACAGAAATCTGCGAACTTTGGTTTGTTAAAGTTAGAGTACACATGATCTAACATTCCATGTCTTTCTGTGATCTGCAACATAAGAAAAATACTACATAATTCAGATTATGTTTTTCCATCTATAAGAAAAAAACATCACATAGTAAAAGTGACAATATTTTCATCATTATTTCTGTTACAATGTTGAACAAAATTGCATAGTTCAAACACAAATGATAAACGGACACCAATCGGCCATTTTGAATAAAATTGTAAAACAAAATAAGTACTGTATAAAAACATCTTTTTAGCTAGCATCTCATTTTAGCTAATTTAGCTAACCTGTAATTTTGCTAATTCAAGATGACGCTATATATATATATATATATATATATATATTCTCGCAATGAGATTGTTGGCATTTTAGCTAAATTAAGATTTTGTTAATTCAGGTATTGAGTCAAATTCGCTAAAATGGCATGTATCTATTTCAATGTGTTTTACAGTACGTGATATGTAACCCGTAAGACTTTCATACAAAGTTTGAAACAGTTGTGACACACTAAAATCACAACAATGACTGCTAGTATGCCATATTGAATCAGTATGCAAATTAGATACTTAATATTCACAAACATATTGAAAATAACATTTTTACCTGAAAAAACTGATACATAGCCTTTGACACATAGGTAACATCATACGGAGCATCATTCATGTTGTCTTCGGAATCAAACACAATTTTCACAGCTTGGTGAGCAATCCAATAAGCTACAATCAAAATTGTATTATAATAATCATTCCGTAATCCAGATGAAGCAGATGTGCAATGTAACCATCAAATCTTTATTTTAATTTTCAAAATTTACTTAAAACTGTCGTCAGAACAGTGCATGTACATAGGGCATACATAGGCATCCAGTTTTTAGAGATCTACTAAATCTTATCTGAGACTATAAAGTACTCATTTCAAATGCAAGCAATTGGATGTTGGTAGCACAGTCAGCTGGCGCACACGTGATAATAAAATAAATACGATATTTACTATATGGGGGCCGCCATCTTGAATGACGCATAAAACTAAATAAGAGACAAGCTGTGAAACGCGTTTTTCAGATTCCTACAAATCAGGACAAAAATACCAATCTTTCACAAAAATACGGTCCGTTCGGGTTATATTAAGCCAACCGATAACAAAATGCGGCCTAATTCGTCATTTTTGTGTGGAAAAATCCCTTGCATACGAACACCTAATTACGCGAAGAACATAGAACACTTTCCTGGGGGTATTTAAAATTAAAAATTGGCATTCCAGCTCAGCAGCCAATCAGCGACGGCCTAACGCTTAGATGACATTTTCGGTTTCAAATACCCCGGCTGAGTAACAATAGAATGGGCACATGTGTAGTTCTGACAAAAAAATCCAGCTGTGCATGTGAATATATATGCTACATTTTAGTCTACGTACAACAAATAAGTATAAATTACACAGTGTCCATCAATAATTTGACATACATAATCATACACTATAAATTTTGAGTGAAAAAACCCTTATTGAAAATCTGCAACCCAATATGTAATTTTACTATACCATTTTGACTGAATCTGCCAAGCAATAACTGAGAAATGGTTCTGGACAAAGCTATGTATTAGATTCACCTATTGTTATGTCAAAAATTGCTGCCAGGCAACCATTATTAATAAATCACACTACAAAACTTGTAACATTTTTGGGATAATTTGTATGTATGTATGAGTGAAAAAAGAAATGTGAAGAATGAATTTTCTTTTCATATTTGTGATATGTGATAATTATGTTATGTATTTTTTTCGTAAATATGTATTACTTTGACAAAACAGAATCTGTGAAAGTGTTTGAAATGGCAGAGCACACAGCCACCAGTCAGCCATTTTGACTCGAACTGCAAGACATTAGGACAAACATTAGTAACCAATCATTGGTGAAACAAATCAAAACGGTTGATGACATGCTGGAATTTTGTTTTTTTAGGAAGAAAATGGCTGCCATACAGTCAAAGGTCGATGAAACTGAAAACTAATTGCACATGCATAACATTATGTTGTGTCATTGCACCAACTTCGAACAAAATCAGTAGAGGCATACTCAAGAAATTATATTGAATGCACAGACAGATGGACAGAATACAAAATATACATCCAGGCAGGGACTGATAATTTGTTTTTCTAAAATAGAAACAGTGACACATTTTATACTGAGGTGGGAAAAATGTGCTATCAAATGTGTTCTTTTGCACTCAAGTGTGCATGTGATGTGACAAGAGTATGGTGCTCCATACCAGATCCTTCATCTCCCAGCATATGTCCCCATCCACCACATCCATGTATTTTACCATTAGGGTTGATCAGCTGACAATTAGAACCAGTACCTGAAATTAACACTATACCACCTGCAATGGAAAATACAAAAATCAATCACTGCAGCAATAGCACCATTTTACTGCAATATGGCTGCCTTTAGCACTAGTAGGTTCAATCAGAAGATGCAGCCTCTATACCAATAAAAGCATTACATTTGTTTTCATGTATTTTACTGCAATATGGCTGCCTTTAGCATGAGTAGGTTCAATCAGAAGATGCAGCCTCTATACCAATAAAAGCATTACATTTGTTTCATGTATTTTACTACAATATCGCTGCCTTTATCTCTAATAGGTCTAATCAGAAGATGCAGCCTCTATACCAATAGATGCATTAGATTTGTTTTCATGTATTAGACAAATTAGATAATATATATTTATGAGTATACGAATGTCACTGCAGTGGCAGGAACATTTTACTGCAATATGGCTTCTTTTAGCACTAATAGGTTTAATCAGAAGATGCAGCCTCTATACCAATAGACATATTACATTTGTTTTCATGTATTAGAGATAATTTAATATGATAATATGATTACAAGACTATCACTGCAGCAATAGCTACTGGTATATTTTACTGCAATATGGCTGCCTTTAGCACTAGTGCAATCCTGCAGGAAGAACTGCCATACACACCATTATCACACGCCGTCGCAATTGCACCAAATGTATCAGTACACATTGTATGATGTTCGCTAATATTAGGAAAACGGGTCTTCAATCCTTCAATAACTTTCTTTTGACCTTCTTTTTGTTCACCACCACTCAAAGACATGCCCTGAAGAATTTAAAACAAAATATATGACCTACAGTGAAAGCATCAATTTTTACTTGTATTTAATTAAACTATTTTAATGAAATTCATATCAGTCAATAATATCACCACTGTGCAATATTATGTAATCACTAGCGCAGAATGCTAGTAATAAATTGTTTTATTGTGAATAAAAATGGAACATTCACTTACCAATGATTTTAGAGGTTTGTCTAGATCAATGTCTGCTGTTAATTTAGCGTCTACAACCATATTATGTATTCTATCAAGACATTCATCAATACCAATCAGCTGCCATAAAAATAACAAAATATGAGCTGACTATATGATACATGGAACTATATCCCAGAACAAAAGTTTCTGGTAATTTTTTATAAAATTTAATCTTTCTTTATTCTTTCCAAAAAAATCTGACAAAAAATACGAGAACAATGTTTTTAATGACTGCATGGATTGTAAATAAAAGATGTAGATTATAATTAAACAAGTCATTGTCATGTTTTTTGTGACTGTCAACATTAGTGCCAGAGAACAATTAGTGTGAAGTCATATAATGTGCACATGAAAGTCATATCAGAATTATGGTATTGAACAGCATTTTATAAAATAATACCATTTGTTGGTGTCCACTGTGAAAGATATTCAGATAAATGCTTACCCAATGATTTGTACTTGGTCCTCGACTCCAAGCTTTAATTTTTCCGTCAGATGACATTATCACCATCTTGGAATGGGTAGCACCACTGAAAACGCATAAACAAATTGGTAAAGATGTCTGTCATCGACTGACATGTATGTTTCTATACTACCAAAGATTTAGTCTGGTTTGGAATTATTGATTTATCAGGGGTTTATCTAGAAGAACTGCAAGAGGGAACACTGCAATTCAGCGGCGCCACCAAGTGAGGGAGATAGGTGATAATTCTAAGTTAAAATGGAGCATTCCATGGCTTTCTTGGGGCCAAAATTACTATCAGACAGATCACAGTTGAAGACTATGGCCACATGTGATCCCTGGTCAATCAGAATTTTATGGTTGCCAAAGGATCTGCTCTGTTTAACCCTCTTTTAGCCAATATATATTTTGTGTTATCTTACCAACACCATAAAAAACCTTGTGAAAATAG